AGGCTTTGCTGCAGAAACACTTCAGTTTGCCTCAGAGCAACCACTGGGGCCCAAGTAGTTCTTTGTAGGCTTGGTTCAAAGGGAAAGGCCAGTTGCAGGCTAAGCTGATGTATTATGAACACCATTCTTCTACCTGAATTCCCAGTTGTGGCATATTGTGTGTAGATAATAGTGGTATTGTACTATAAGGCTACAATGTCTAGAAGTACTAGAATAACTCTACTTTTTATCTCAGAAACTTTAAGAACAAATAACAGGCTAGCTAGGTTGGTCCTTGTTTAGTCAGGGTGTGGCTAATTAAAATGTCGAGGTAGGTGAGTCTGGCTGAAGCTCAGTCTTTTCAGATTTAAAAAGCAGCAGCTACAGCCTTATTAGGGCTCCAGTACCATCCCCAGGAGAAGTGCCAGGCCACTGTCCTGGGTTTTTGATGGCACCACTTTCTGGTGGAAATCAATTTATAAATTACGCTGTGAGTCAAAGCCTAATGAGGTGATGAACATACTGTTCGTAAAAACAGCAGCTCACAAAATGACGGCATTGCTACTCTCTCTCTTATTCCCACCTCTCCCTTTCCCTGCCCCCTCAAAAGTAGGGCTACCTGATTCGTGCAGGGGGGGAGGTTTGCCCTGTTTTCAGTCCACTTCATTCTAGGAATGTAACTGTGATGGCTACATCAAGAGCCTAGTGACATCAGGGACCTCTTCCCAGTAATGCCCGTCAATGAAATGAAAATTAAATGTTGATGACATGTGTGAGAGACATTTCAGTTGCCTCTCAAGTTTTGACTGGAGATGGAGCTGTCTACTGGCCAGGGCAAGAGTGGAGGGACGAAGGGAACAAGAGCGGAGCAGGTCCTGCAAAGCAGGCAGAAGGAGGAGTGGTGAAAGCTAAAGTGAATGCTTCAAAAAACAGTACTTGACGGAACAGCTGGAGCTAGTCTGACCTACTGGGATCAGAAGTGGACCTTGGAGCAGGGTAGGGAAGCTGGAACAGGCAAATCTTAGAAGATGGTCAAGTCAACCTGTGCAGTAGGCTAACAAGGTCTTCTTTAGGTCTAGTATGGTGCATGGTTCTTGTTTTACCATGCAATGGATGCCAGCTTTGTATGAGCTGGTCCGTCTTGGTCGTAGAAAGTAAGCACAGACGCTCATGCAGGTTGTTACTTGTGTGCCGGCTGACGGTATGGTCTCTTATAGAGAAGAGAAAAGATTCTGCACTTCCCTTTCTGGGATTATGCTTTGAAATTCTCTTAAAAAAAAACCCCAAAAAACCCCCACGCTTCTGTTACTGCACCTGAGCTTGAAAATGCCATTACACAAACTTGTAGGCTTTGCTGTCTAAGGATATACCCATAGCAGCCGTATTCTACTGCAGGATTTAAGTTTAATATATGCTACATTTGGAGAAGCTATTATCTAAAGGAGCAATCAGAAGTTGCTCTGAATTTGCCTGGCAGAGTCCATCAAAACAGGTATTTAAACAAAAGTAATGCAATTATTCTTCACATAAGAAGTATGGGAGGCAAGAAAAATACATGGTGTTCATTCTAGGTAACTTAATCAATTTGAAATACTTGCTTCAGAAGGACTAACACAGCTGCCTTGGGAAAAGTTTACTCACAACAGTACTGGACACCACAAGGTGTTAATGCAGAGACGGGCCCCTGCTGCTGTTCAAGGGAGCAGAAGGGGGAGGGTAAACAGGAAAGGTAAGAGGCCTAAAATGTTACCGGTGCTGTAAAACCACCGCTGCCTGCAACAAGCGGCCTAAAGCTACCCCGTCTGTGTCATTCATGAACAGGCCCGCGGCCGCAGAGGAGGATGCGTACGATACAGTTGAGCCCCCTGCTAGTGCAGGGGAGCAGGTCAGACTGCAGGCAGGTAACGCGCGCTTCACAGCCAGAGGCACACAGGCTCCTTCCTCAGCTGTTCTATATAAACAGGTACCATTTCTGATTTTATTTCATCATAACATACAGGTAATGCTCATGACACAACATGATGAGAAACTCGCATCTCTCTGAACCATTTAAACAGCTTGCCATACACCAAAGAACATTATCTTCATATTGAACATGTACACATTCCCCCGGCCCCTTACACCCTCCACTTTGCTTTCCAGACTTCTACAAACCATTTCCAGCATTGTTCAGGTACAGGACACGAGTTCAGATGGGAGACAGGGCCCCACCCTGTGCAGGACATGGGGTTAAGGCTTCCTCCTACGGGAACCTGTCCCCTCAAAATACTGTGCCTACAGCTTTGATTCATTCAGTGACTATAGCGTATTGGAAATCACAAGGAGCCAGAAGACCAGATTTCAGTTCCTCAGAAGGCGATTAACCCAAATGGACATAATTATATGTACAGAGACAAGGAGAGAACACACACCGGTGAAGGAGCACAAAAGATGGGAAGATTCTGTTTCTGCCTCTAGGGATTGATTTGTGTTAACCCCCATTAACTGATTTAAATGAAAGGCACGGGCTTTTACTGAAATCCGGCTGAGAGGAGCACTACTAAACCGTTTACACAGGTATACACACACACACACACAGAGTGTGTATGTATGCTGAAAAGAGTTGTAATTCTTTTCACTGGATCTGTAAACAGAGACGAGCGGCAGTATGTTTAACCAATAGCCAAGACCTGACGTGCTTGCTGGTGTGGTGTCAACCTATCCCTCGCCCCAACTACCCCTTCTTCCAGCATCTTGCACACATGGCACAAACACAGCCTCTGGGTTCAGTTCCTCCTGGTGCTGCCCCTCTGTGCCTTTTGCACTTTTCAGGATCAAGTTAACCAATGCTGTAGCTTTCAGTGCTATTTTCAACAGTCCGCTGTAGGAAATTAAAGTCACATCCTAGCCACAAAATAAAACAATGACAAAATCTTCTCCACTTCTCAATATAGTAAAACCTGAGATTTGAGTCACAAACTAGCTAAACGTACAGTAAAAAAACCAAACATAACCCAAGCTGCTGACTTGAATTAGGGCTTCAGTTTGCCGCTGACAAATTTTTTTTTTAAAGCTGTTGGCCAGGGGTAAGTATTTGTTACATGTGATTTACAATTTTCAGCTGCCTGCACTGAAATGGGACAAACCAATACAGTTCCTCCCTGATACACATGCTCTGAGGGGTGCTGGGGAAGACTGAGAGAACACGTGTGCAGCTCCCATGGGAGCAGGAAGGATGAAGCTTTACGCTGTGCCTCTGCTACCACCCCTCGCTGACGATAAACCTCTTGCAGCAGTGCGTGCACATAAAACAATTTGAGCAGCGGCAGCCGAGGTACCGCAGGAATGGCGAGCTGGAGGGGAAGCAGCTGGTTTGCTGTCAGAAACAACACGAGAAGAGCTGTGCCTAATCTCTCATGAAACGCCCCCGCTGGCAGCAGGGAAGCGACACCTCCTTGAGCTGGCGCGTTCCCTGGGGTGGCGAGGGTGAGGACGCCGTACCGGCCAGCAGCAGCACAGCTAGAAGCATCTGCAGCCAAATCACGCGTCAGCACGCTGGGAAACCAAACCCTACGCTGGGACAGAGGACAAGGGCCAGGATGGGAGTTCCTTTGGAGCTGCGAGGGCAGGAGGGGAGCAGGCTTCCCATTAAAGCTGTCTCTTCTCACACCCCCTTTCTTGCACAGCGCACTATGAGATGGGATGCTGGAGGTCCCCTTCTGTTCTCCTTGGACAGCCAGCCAGACTGCTCTTTCTCAGAAGAAGTCAGCAAAACTAATGAGAAGCTTCTATCTCCACGTCCCCACAGTCTGGGTGAGGATGTTGGGATGGAAAAAAACACCCAACCACCTGAACTGCCCTCGCCCCATGCATGACTGGAACCATATATATAGACCAGTTCCTTAACAGTACTGCTCAGTTAAGGACTAAAGCCCATCCCAACTAAATTTTAGCTTTTAAAAAAAAAAAAAAAAGCGCCTTCAAGAGCCATCTATTGAATTGTCAATTGGCAAGAAAAGGATTTTGTGGTATTGTATCAGCCGCTTCTCTTGCACGTAAGTCTAAGCATTAACCACTCCATTATAGCTTAGAAGCTAAAGCAGCTACCCCTCTCCCAGAAGCCAGCTTAATATCAAAAATACAAATACTGCTTATTTTATGTTTCAAAAGACTGGGGGAAACAGTCCTAAGTATGGTTCATTCCTCTTTTTGAACAATTGCTGCTGAGCCAACTGAAACACTTGTGCGTAGACAGCTTTAAAAAAAAAAAAAAAAAAATCAAACGTGGCTAGTTGTTACTTGTTCACATTGCTTATGAACTGACTACCAGCATCTGGCAGCCATAAAGCCCTAGTTTATTTTTTATGTTTTTGAGGTACTGGGTTTTTTTTTCTCTGAAGCAGCTCTCTAGCAAATCACCTAAAGCCTATCCATTAGAACAATAGTTACACCAGTATTTACATTTGTCTGAACTGTATTTTCAGACCAGCTTTGCTGTAACCAGTCCCTACGTCCTTTGGAATCGCTCCTCGTCTCCTTTCTTATGGGAAAAAGGTCTCCCTCCAGAGGTTGGCTCAGTGTCAGGGCTAAGGTGCACTGGTGAATAGGTGGGGCATGAGGAGGGGAGAACAAAACTAGCTTTGATGGGCAGGAGCGTGTTTCCGTGGAACCAGAGAAAGGGTTTGATAACAAAAGAGTTTCCTTTTTAAAAACCACTGAAAGGATGTGCAATCCATTGCATGTAATTGCTTCCTCTGTCAGGGAAAGATCTTTGAAACGTTCTGCCTTTCTCCAGGAAAGGGGAGAAGAAAAACCCAGCTTTGGGTACGCTTGGTCTCCTCAGGCAGATGCTCACTTGTCATTTCTTTGCCGTACTAATCCGGTCGCTGTGTTCACGCTGAAGCCTTGCGTTTCTTCCCCACCCTCCCCCACCTTTTTGCACAAAGTTTGTTCTTTCCAGATTTACAGGGACCTCTCAAACACTGGGGGAGCAGCCTTGAGGAGAAAGCAACTCCGATACAGTCACACAAGCCTGCTGCCCCTCAAGACACTTCAATGATTTCCATGCTGCCTGAAAAGCTCGACTGACTGCCTACTTTCCCCAGTTCTTCTCTGGATCTGTTGTCTGACATGATGCTCTCCCCAAACTCCATCTGGCAGCTTCTGCGCTTAAACTGCTTTTCAAAAGAGCTCTCCTCATGCCAGCTCCGCCTGGAGTCACCTCGGTCACCCTGCTTTGCCCTCCTGCGCACAGCACAGGCTTGGTCGCAGCCCGTGGGCAGCTGACTACAGCTGTAGGCAGAGTAAGCGGTGCTGTTCCCATAGATGGCGGAGGCAGAGTAGAAATGCGAGGACTCGGTTGCAAAATACCAGCTGTTGGTAAGGGACGTAGCCGATGTCTGAGGAGCCAAGATGTCCGAGTGCCAGCCTTTGAGGCCCAGCCCGGCAGCAGACTTCGCCAAATGCTGCTGGCTGGTGGAGAGGCCGAACAAGAAGTTCGTTCGGTAGTTGTCTTCCATGCTGCCACTGCGGTGGAGCGGGTACAGGAGCGACCGCTGCGTGGTGGCACTGCCGCTGGCTCTCCCCAGGTGTTGCCGTTTGCTCTGGCTATCCAGCTGCCAGGGGTTCTGGGGTTTCTTGGGAGGGTTTGCTTCCTCTTTGTCTGGGCTGGTTTCTGGGGTCTGCTCCGAGACCTCCTGGACAGGGGAGAACTGACACAACTTGCTGCTGCCCTCTAAAGCAGTCGCGTGTTTGTAGTATTCCAGGGTGTCTTCCGAGGAGGCAAAGCCCTGAACCGATGCAGTCACACAGCTGCTACTTGCCGAGTAGGATACGGATTTGATATCCAAAGAAAAGGAGCGCTTCAGCCGGTTGCTGTCTTCCACCTTGTCTAAGGAGACGTGCAGTCCGTTTATGCCCTGTACCAGCGGGCCGTCTTCCAGAGGGGACAAGTGCCCGCGTGGTGCGCTGCCGCAGTCCATCGGCTTCTGTTCCACGATCTCGGAGGTAGCAGTAATGCAGAGCTGGTTAGCAGAGAGGCTGCTCTGCCCACCTTCTGGGACCAGCACGTGCTCGCTGCTTTTTTCCAAATGGAGAAGTTTCAGCTTACTAATATGTCCCGGCTGACCGCTCTGGTTCTTGATCTTTTTCTCAAAGTCCAACAGCTGGCCCAGAAAGTTGAAGTTGGGAGAAATGGTTGGCCTTTTTTCTTTCACAAATCTGGAAAGAGGGGACAAACAAACCAAGAGTTAATTTAAGGACCTGCTGCTCAGACCCGAGATACGAATACATGTTAACAGCCTAACCTTAACTTGTCAGGATGCCTGGACTGAGGTTCAGTCAAGCACAGGAAACATGGATGGAGAGAAAAAAGAAAAAAAAAAAAAAAAAAAAAGCAGCTTTTAAACAAGATAATGCTGGATGCTCTCAACTCTCTCAGTAGCTTACTTAAAGGTGGCTAAGAAAGGGAAAAGCAAGTTTGGTTGGTTTTTTTTTTTTTTTAACCTCTTTGGATGTCCCTAACAAACTTTGAGTGAATCAATTTCTTATTTTACCTCACCAGTGGGATCTCTACTACCTCAGTTTCTGACCAGAGTTAAGAGCTCTGCAAGTTCTGCATGAACAGCCTTGGAACTCCAGCCAAGAGACCTCTGCCCCCCCAGCACTGCAGAAAGCTGACCACCTTTTCCCCGCTGTTCAAAGGGATGAAATCCCACGTTCCTTCCACCTCTCTCATGCTGTTGTTACTGCAGTGAGCATTTCCTACCCTGTTTATATTTGTCAGGCAAGACAAGGAGCTCTGATATGTGCTGACCTTACACAGCAAATGTCAGCGATTTCTACTAGGCACTGGTATTGGCCACTGAGATGATCCTCGAAAAGAAAACCAGAAAGGAGCAAGTGCAGCATTAAACCAAAAACACGCTCTCTAGCTCTGTAGGTGTTCAGCAGTAAAGGGCAACAGCATTACCAAACCACTGGAAGAGTCACCTGGTTTTCCAGCCCTCTAGGACGCAGCCTGACTCGCACACGTGTGCCAATCTAAGCACGCACTTCCATACTCGGTTGAATATGGAGAAGGCGCGATGCACACTTAAAATGTTTTCCTAAACCAGGACTCTAGTCTTTCATACATTAAGTATCAGAAGTCATGTCATATACTCCAAAGTTAAATATACTTGCATTATGTCCTACCCGTCTCATTTGCAATACAGCTAAATAAGTGCTCTCTGCTTTTTACAGGCTGTAAAATGGAAAGCCTCCTTCTCTTGGTTTTTTGTTTGTGGGTTCTTGGGGTTTTTTTGTGTGGTGTTTGTTTTGTTTTGTTTGGTTGTTTTTTTTTTTTAAAAAGCCATACCCGGAACTGTGATGTAACAGATGACAAGGGAATTAACAAGGGAAGAAACCTTGAAGAGCTAAATCTAGTACAAACACACATGCAATGTATCACTGGGAAAATTAAATATTAAAAATACCTCTGGGGATGTGTACAGAAGGGTGTGCAGTCATTAAAAACAGCATGAGAAAAATTCAAAGGTGTATATGTGTATATACTAGCACAAATGCAGGCAAGCGCATGAAAAATATCAAACAAAACTTTCGTTTTTTTATTATGTTGGGTTTTTTTTTAGTTGCCAAACAACAAACTGTAGTAGGAACAGTTGAGCTGACATGATGACCTGGAATATCAGGTTGCACAACCTGATAGTGGAAGCTCCTACCGTGAAGTGTAACACTGTCAAATGGAGAAAACTAGTTAAGCCTCCTCAGGAGAGATTCTTTAGCTTGATCTCTTAGCATTTAATTTGGGGGCTTTTATTGCAGGGTAAGCACTTGCTCACAAGAATTCAGACAGTCTTCATTAATTTTCTTCCAGTCAAAGCTAGCTGTACTTGTTAACGGGCTGGTTACTTAAAGCAAGATCCTTCCAGTCAACATTGCAATTTCTGGCCTGTGTTCTGGTAACCTCTCCAAACCTCCTTTCCTTCCACTTCCTCCTCATCTCACTCCAGAATATTGGGCAGTCCTAAACTTAAAGCTAGCTTTTTAAAAAATGAAAAGGGTACAAGAAAGTCTGCTGGATCCCCCCGACAAGTTTTAAGGCTTTGCAAACGTTTTCATTTCAAAATGCAGACTTTTTTCCAATTGGAAAACACGCGTAACATTTAATTTTGATGTTTATTTCCCTTGTATAGTCCATTATACCAAAGAAAAGATTAAAAACTTTTATTTCCTCAGATCTTTCACTTCAAGCAACAGTGTCGCCTTTTTATTTTCATAATAGTGTCAGACAAACAGTTTATCTAATGACTTTCATTAACTCAGAGAAAAGTATTTTTCTTTCAAGCTTTGCCAACAAGGGATCCCAAACCAATGAGTGGAATGTGCTGCAGATGGTTCTCACTAAGCCATATCAAAGGAAATACAGCAAAATATAATCTAAATTTCACAGTAGTTGGGAGTATCTGCAGTGCAAAGAGAAAAAGGCCTAGGATGATTAATCCTTCACACTCAATTCACACTTCTGGGTAAGAAACAAACTAGAATTTAATGCAGAGATGTCATGGAGGAATTCAGAAGCAGCACTTTAGAAGTTCCCTGGAGCATGTGCATTTTAGAAGTGTTTAGTACTCTACAGCTCTAGCCTCTAGACCACTACAGCCTGATTCCAGACAGGTTTTTGTTTTAGTGACTCAAGCTTGTACCTTGCACAGTATCCAGCCACATCCACTAATTCATCCACATTATCTATACCTGTGTAACTGTTTCAGCTCCACCTCTTAACCAAACCTGTTTCACCATACGTGTTGAAATTACTGCACAACACCAAACTGTCAACAGGCTCCAATAAGAAACTCTGGAAAATTTCTAGAGGAAATGGCCATGGGAGATGGTTTTAGTTCAGGCACCTTTTTTTTCCACTAGTTACATAATTATGTTCATCAGCTTAGAAAGAAAACGCCCCACGGAAATCATGCTCCACAAGGGAATACCAAATGCTCATCTATCTTTCTGTCCTCATCAGTGTTTTAGAGAAGGTGGGAGCAAACCCACTAGTGATTTGGAGGGTACTCCTCTCCACCGGCTCCAGCAAAATTGTTCAAACTGCTTCTGCACAACACGTGTTACAGCGACGCCAAGTACCCTATAAAGCCCATCAAAAAGAAAACCAGCATTTTCTGTACAACGCAATAAAGCAGGTTTGTTAAATGAAATACAGAAGTCATGGTAAACTGCAACCAAACCATCTGGAATGTAGTCAAGTGTTCGCAATCCAAGCATAGAAAAAATGGGATCTGAAAGATTAAAAAGGGGGGGTGGGGGGGAGGGAAGAGGGGGGGAGTCTCCACAAAAATTCCCTAATGCCACAAAGAGCTGATACTTCAAAATACTTTCTCCCAGAGTTTTTCATTGACTTTAACAGCAACAAAGAAGCTTTCTTAATTCCTAGACATTTCACCTGCAGGCAGTTCTTTGAGAGCATTACCAGATACCAAACTGCAGTCAACAGATCCAGCCTAGCATTTGTTATAAGTTTGATTATAAATATCCTCAGTTCTCTCCTCTTTAACCCTATCCATTCCATTCTCTAACTTACAAGATACTGTTATATGTGTGCTATAGCTATGTGTACATGTATGCACATACACACACATTTAATAAACAGTTTCAATTCCAGCTATTTGCCTACTTGGAGCAAAGACCAACATCAGCGTTTTGCAGGTGGGCAATTAATATTAGCTGTGTGATGTCTACACAACACCATCCAGTTGTTTATGCTGGAAGTCTACATTTAAAACAAGAGTGTGAAGAGGCCAGTGAACTAACAGAAAAAATAATGTCTGCTTCTACCCTTCATCATACAACCTTTTATCATGCACCTTAAAAACAAGCCAACATGAAGGGAAATTTTTTCCTTACCTGTAAGCTTCATCTAAGGACATATCCATTCTCTTCATGATATATGCAATAGCGATTGTGGCAGAGCGAGATATTCCAGCCAAACAGTGCACTAACACACGGCCATTTGATGCTTTTGCTTTTTCTACATAACAAAGAAATGGGCAAGTGTCAAACTCAGCAGCATTACACCATAATGAAAAGTTTGCAAAGAAAGCATTGTTATTTAAAATTGTTCAAAACTTCCAAATTAACTGCTAATTGCAAGTTTCACAGAAGCTTTAAACAAAAATCACTTATTTTCTCTAGCACTGTATAGCACTGACTATAGAAAAAGCATGTGACTACACAGGAAACATACTGCAGTGACAGCATACCGCATTTTAATGTGCACATAAACAACCCTATTTAGATGTCTGGGAAAGGTGATTGTTTCTAATTTTATATGCAAGTAAAAAGCAAGCATTCATGATGGAACAATTTGGCCAGTTCAAATCTGGCTAGCTCACTTCTCAAAGCTAAGGACAGGATCCGTATGTCCAATTTTCTAATTCGCTCTCTGCAGACATACATCAGGCATCTACCAGGTTGCCAGAAAGCAGAGTTGTGCCCTTAAAAAGTGTCTTTGTTTCGTAAGTGCTGGAACATGCAGTGGCAGAATTTCCCTATGTTATTTTGTTTCTGTGCTTATAAAGCAATGGTGATCACGTATGTAGATCCTTGGGGTTTTTTCCAAACCACCCAGAAAGCATTCGGGTCTTCTCCAGCCAAAAGAGCAAGGCAGACACACAAAGGAATCCAGAAACTGGTTTAGAGAGAGAATTTAAATTTTCTTCTCACCTATAAAATCGACTGATTTATCCAACCAAGGCAAAATTTTCTCACAAAAGCTGTCGTTCACAGGCACTCTCAGGAAATGAGATTCTGGAATAAAATCAGGCTTTGGACAAGTGTTGCTGGCGTTCAGTACATAGCCAATATCATTCTGCTGCATCAGCTCCTAGAAAACAGAGAAAGATTAAGTCTAGAGAAGTCAAATGGTACCTTTGGCACATAACAAAGCTAAAAACTGAACTGAAATTTGTGTTGGAATTGCTCTAGCTGTATTACGGGCATTCTTTTATGAAAAAGACAACTCCATAGCTTACAAGTCTTCGAATAACTTTTATTGAGACATCCAGTGTGTCCAAATAACATATGGACTGCAGAGCCCATAAAACCAAAGGTAACAAAGAACAGAAATAATGGTAGAATACCTTCTGCTACTATGAAGCATCACTTCGAAGAGAATGAATTTTTTGCTACTTTGATTTAAATTCTCACCGTACAAGCTGCCAACATAACCAAACACTTCCCATATGTAGTTTGCTGACCTGACTCTGTGTTTTCTGGATCCTGTATCTGAGAGCGAGGTCGTCCCATCACAGCTACTGGTGAGAAATACGAAATGAAATGGACGCCTCCTGCAGTCACCTCTTAAAGTGCCCAGGACTTCCTTGTTTCTAAGGCAACATGCAAAACTCACTGAAAACCTTGAAAGGAAGAGCTGAGTAAGAGCTGAAGACCTTGAATTAGACCACTTTCACACAGCACTAACTGCAGTTTTATAGGAGTTCCGCTTTGTGGTTCACGATTTAGTTGCTCGTATTTCAGTTTTCAGTCTTTAGTCCTCTTGCATCTTGGAGATTGTCACAGGAGAAAGCAAAGAGACCCAACGTACAAGAGGCAACGGAGCTTTTTAAGTAAGTCAATTTTCATGACTGCAAATGAAAAAAAACCAAAACCCCAAAAGACTCCTCTTTTCTGCACCTCGCCATACTGTTTGTATTAGAGTTGTGCAAAGCAGTATCTGATGCAGCAGGCACCTTAATGCCAAAACATGTGAAACAGGTACTAGAGAACTGGAGGCGGCTCTACCAAAACCAACCACTCTCCTGCAAGTAAGCATCTCGACACAGAAAAGCAGTTAAACAGGTTGGATTAATTCCGATCAAACAACTTCGCTGGTTCAGATATGATTTGGCAGCAAGTGACATGCAGTACTATGCTTGGACAGTAGTTACACTGAATACAAACACTGGGAAGCTTTTGGCCAGATTTCTATGGAAACTAATGTCTGAAACTAAACTGAAACACAAAAAAAAGCCCCCAAAAATCTGATTTTAATCCTTTTGCTTTTATAGCAATTATATAAAAAAAGAAAAGTTATGTCAATCCATGGGAGCAGTAGCAAGAATGAATTCTTACACTGCAGATTTCAACTGGAGATCTACCAGTATGAAAATACAGTCATGAAGCCAAATGGCCACTTCTTCCCTATATGTATTTTTTCTGCAAGCACAAAGAACTTTTGGTGAGGAGAAACAGGGATACGGCTATTTAGGTGAAGGGACAGAACTCTATCTTGTTCAAATCAGAGCAGTCTAAATATGTGGTGTTGAGTACACAGGTACACCACACGTACGTTACGGTGTGTATGTGGAAAGGACGAACAGACACACATACATGCACACATAAATTAAATGTTCAGTGAGGAAAAGAAAAAAAAGGACTGCAGGGCAGAAGGGAATCTATATCAGTGATTTGCAGAGGAAAGTCCATGAAGCCCAGCCAGCAATGGTTGTAAGCAGGGAATTTACATGAATTTCTTCTAGCGAACTGAATTTTGTTGCCTGGACCAAAATGAGCAGCTCCTCCAACCTTTCATCCAAAGTCCCTCACACACCAGCATATTCAGAGTGCCTGAAGGTGTGGGCACCTTAAACTAATGAACATACATTATATCATAAACATACCAATTACATGGCCAATTACTTCCAAAGCAAATCATCAGAAATATAATCTGCAGCAATAGTCAAAAAGAAAAAAACAAAAACGGGGGGCGGGGCTGGATGGACTTAGCATTACTGCTTCTTACCCTGCTAGTTTCCTAGGCCACGCTCCCAGTAAAGCTCAGCTTCTCACCAATGACAATAAATTCCAGTATGTCACCGATTTCCCCCTCTGCCTTCCTTCCCGTCTCCCCAACTCAACCAGCAAGCTCCCGTCAACCCAGCATGCCTTTCGTAGCCAACTCCATCACACCTTCCTTTACTGTATTTAGCTGTCACACACCCATAGACCTACAAGTTTAAAAGCATAAGCGCTGTAAGGAGAATATTTGGAATTATCCAGAGAAAGAAAGCGTTGGGAATGGGGTTCTTGGCCCAGATGAGTAGCTGCTGCTAGACGTGTGGTATCTCACGAGTGCAAGGAAAACCCCCTGATCCCCAGCATCTCTGCCTCGCTGTCCTGGGCTACACAGCTTTCCCCTTCTGGGATCCGAAGCTCTTCAGTGTCGACTTCCATGAAAACATCTGCTTTAGATCACTATGTTGAAATACTGCCGCCAAACCAGCTCACCTACTGTTGTAACCGCTTAAAGGTGAGAGAAGAAAAACTGAAATGGCAGGTACAAAAGCACATGCAGGGTCATGAACTTTTATCACGTATAAAGGACAGAGGTGATGAAGGTATTGCTAACAAATGGACTGCCACGATGCATGTTTGTTCAGAACATAGCTAAGGGGTGCTGGCAGGCCAAAGAAAAATAGAAAACCTTTTTTTTTTTTTTTTTTTTTTATTAAAGCATAAGCGCTGGTGGGCCACACAGTCCAACCATCACGATTCCACAGTTATGCAAAGTTTTTGATGTGGAATTGATTATTCAACTGGGAACAAGGCGGCTGCAGATGCCAAGCCTGAAATGCCCGAGCCAAAAAAACACCCAAAAATGTGTTAGTGCTTGTCTTTGAGACTAGGGCTGAAGAAAAAGAAGTTATGCTTCCTTCTGTTCTAAGGTATCAATCATTCCCTGTGCAACACACTCCAATATAATAACCATAACAGTGCCTTCATTGTGAGGCACCCAAGAGGAAGAAGTGAATTATGATGGGAGGAAGATCCAGAAATCCTAATACTAACAACTTTGTGAAAAGAAAGTAAATGCTCTTTTGTCAGCTTATTTACATTTTATGACTTGTTTAATCTGAAAATTAATGGCACCCTAAAACGTTATTTTGTTCCAGGAAATAAAATCCAGATCTGGAAGAAAAAGAGGATAGTTATGTAAGTAGCAAAGTAAAGAGTTTTAGCCTTTAAATGCTGGTACAAATCATGAGATGCAAGTAGGAGGCTCATTCAGGCCCATAACCACAATACAGATTTTCTTCTGTTACACTGACTTTTAGAAAGGACACAGTCACTCCTGTGTAGACTAGAATGTCGCTTGCCTCTCTTTCACAAAGAGCAACAAAGATCTTCTGTAAAAGTAAGTACCCTCTTGCAATGCCACCAATATATCACAGTGAGATAACCGCAACATATCAGACTGAGACCCCAAAACTGAAACAAACTTTTCTGTTAGAACTTTTATGAAGACCTTTTATGAGGTTTTTAGTATTTCAACACTGCAAAAAATATGATGAACATTTTCAGAATGAAGCAATTTGAAAGGAATCTGTAAAGCAAAAATATATATAAAAAATCTCCTAAGACTTTTCTGAAGTAATCATTAATTTTGCCAAAGGACACAAACCAAGCATTTATGTTTGCGTATCTTTCATGATTGATTATTAAGTATTTTTGAGTACATCATTGAGTATTAATGGCAAATAGCATTAGTACTCTTCAAAGGTCATGAATACAGATTGTCCTGCAACAAGACAAGCATTTCCCTACCCCTGCACTCAGACAGAAGCTTATGAAGATCCTGAAAAGATATGCTCATCTTGATTAAAGATGCTGAAAATTCACATCTTAAAATCATCAGGTTGAACAGTAGTTGCAGATATTTTTAAGGTATTTCAATTTTAGAGAAATCAGTATGCCTGGTCAACGGAAGGAATCATGGGAACTCACAGATAGCATTTGAAGGCAAAAATATGGTCAATGTCTATAACTACATCTTAACAGTTTTGGGAATCTTACTACAATTTTTCAGAAAATTATTTTTAAAAAATCTATACTTGAATTAAAAAACACCCCAACCCTATTCTACTCTTAAAAGAAAGCTGACTTCTTGTCCCCAGTAGCCAACAAACCAGCAAGGCCATTACACCACAGGATGCAAGCTTAACCACTTATCAGCTCCTGGACTGTTCTACCAGAAACAGAACTTTGCTACTTACCCCTGTTTTTTGTTTCTTGCCTCCCCTTTTGAACGCTCTTCACTTTCCAGCTTTCTTACCATGTACTGGTATTTCTAGGCACTCAATGTAGTAAGAGTCATCCTCCTTGCTCCCCCCAATACCCCTGCGTAGGATTCAGTGTTCCCCAGAAGCAAAGCGTGTTGAAGGGAGACCAGCAGAGATCTGTTGTTCATGTTTCTAACGTGCTGATGTCTAGCTACCGCTAACTTTTAGTTGAATCAAGAAACTGATTAAACCCAGGAAACTGGGAGTTGCCAACAGTTGGGAAAACGTCGAGTGGATTCTAAAAGGTAGAAAACGTAAGTTGTTTCCACAACTTCTTTAGGTTAATAAAGGTAGCAGTATTAAAGACTGAAACCATTTTGTGTTTTCCACAGGCAGTCACTGAAACTGAAGAGGTAAGACAAGCTACCGACACTAAGGTCTACTTCAGTGCAGTAAGCAAGTGACATGCTCAAAATAAAGCATTACCAGTGTTTGTTCAAAGTAAGAGGAAAAAGGTACAAAACCCAAATAGACCTGAAATCATAAGATGTGTGTTTGTCCTAAAATGGGTAAGAAATCTAAGAGGTATTTTAGTCATCAGTGGAGGAACTTCCAAAAGACTGACTGTCAAGGATGACACCAGGCATAAGAATTTACTGAGCTTTCTGTGGATTGTATGCTGTTGTCTTTGTGGTTCTCCATACAAAATGGGAAACACAGTAATCCTTGATTGTAACTCCCAAAAATATGTGAGGAAGTACAAATCTGACCAACTCCTGGGGGTCTTACATTAATTCTGAAGTATCTGAAGCTGCAGGGCTTCCTTCGACACATGCTGAAATAACGTCAGGATTGTAGATTAATAGGCAAGAGAACCACCACCAGGTCTAAACCCTTCCTGTAGACAGCCCTGCCAGACTCAGGGCTCACCAGCAGTAGTTGTGATTTTAGCCTCCTCCAGCCCTGTAAGGGAATTCCTGACTGCTGCTACCACTTGGATACCTTTCCTGGTGAGGCACACGTACTGTGCCTGTGCCCAACACCTATCCATAGGCACCAATTTACTGCCAGGAAAAGGAACGGCCTCTTTCATCCCTCTGGGATTATTCACCACCTAAGAGCCACAGCACTGGAGTTCCAGTCACATCCCAAACAAAGTAGCACATCCCTGGCCCTGGAGGAGAACGAGGAGGACAAGTTGCCCCCTCCCTCACACTGTGACCTAGGATACCACTTGCCATTCACACATTGAAACAAACAGCATAAAAGCATCTTTCTAATACTCTACCATTGAAAGGAAGGATGATTTTTTTTTTTTAATTTTTAATTAGTTCCTGCTGTCTTTTGTCTGGGGACCACAAATTACTTTCGTGGTAGGAAAAGTTATAAGCTGCTTTGGCATCCATCGTAAGTGAATCGAGTCGCTGAATTGCTGCCTGGCAGTAAAGTCACAGAAGATTTTAAAGGACAAAGTAAATACACTGACTGCTGACTATCTTCCATATAAAAGATTTTTCTGTGCGCTCTATTAAAGCACAATTACCTTCTACATGATTGCTTGCATGTCAAAAATCCCCTTAAAACAATTGTGAAAAATCTAAAAATAGTCTATTAATGGCCACACTGGGATGGAGTGAAAGTAGAAGAAACAAGTGAAAAATATGATAATAGTCAAAGTATATGAACTTGATCCAATTACAGGACTATTAGGATAGCTCCTGTCTTAAGCTTTATACATGGATAAAAAACATACACATAAGCCTTGCACATAATTAAGTCAATATGCTACAGTGAAGCACTCCTCTGCTCTCCCCCATTCATGTATTTAATGCCTGGTTATGAAGGCTGTTGGAGATTGAATTAATGAATAGGACTGTCAGATAATATGGGATGCAGGAGGGCACATGCAGCAGAAGTAATAAAAATTCCCTTGTGAAGGGAACCAATGCAGACTGTAAGCAATATGAGTTGGTCTCCTCATGGAGGCAAACATCTGTGGATATACATAGGAATATAGACCTGTAGCAATTTGAGACAAGCTCTTTTAGACATCTGATAGTCCAGCAGCCTACAAGTGCTATATCTGGTGACTCTGCTGACTATTTTAAGTATATCAAAATATCATGGAACAGAAATTATTAAATGCACGTGTATTTAGAAACAGTAAGTGTCTTAGTGCAGTGCTACCGTAAAAGCTCATTTTAAATGACCCCACTGACCGTCCAAGTCTGAACATTTTATTAGGTGTACAAAGATTTGTTTGCAGTAGTCCCTCATTATACAAATCATGGTATTTTAAGTGCTATTTTTTCCAGCACCTGAAGGAACTAATAAAACCCAGACAATCCTCCTTTGTCCTACTGTATCCATTAATATAATTGTGTTAACATCCAAGACCTGCCAAAACAAACCAGCCAGAGCTATACACAGGAAAGCACCTGACCTGCTGTAATGACAGATTTGATAGTTTGCTGTTGGTTGATATGTTACTGAGGAAGGTACCATATCATCTTCTCAGAGATGAAGGAGAAAGGAGACCAAGTTTCATATCACAGTTCTGACATAGCTTTCCATGGCTTATGCACAGACGGCTATTATCTATACCTACTTTAGGTGTTTTATAGCTGTAATGATGCAGCATGGTAGAAGCACGGATGAAGGCACAGGGAGATTGGATTACTCATCCAAGTAAACAACATGACACCCAGAACTCTCACCTTGTTGAGGACATCCCGCTGACACCCAAGATAGAGATGAGGCAGGATTCTGGTTGGGCCAATGTTGGAGACAGGTAGGCAGGGTTGAGAAATGCAAGTAGGGATGAGAGTGGATTTTCCTTCACAGAGACCATGGAAAGAGCTGGAGAACTCAGCAAATCCGCCTGTGAGAGGAACAGTATATATTTAATTTACATTCTGCGTTACAGGCATCAGTGCCCATACCAGTTCTCAGGAAGCACCATTTACTGAAAGAGATGAGAGGCGTTAAGGGGCAGCAGGAAAGCCTTACAGAGGAACTGTACGTGTGCCTTTTCCAGAGGTACCCTGACTGTGCAGAACCATCCATCAGCAGGCAGGTAAGGCCTGGCTGCATATTCCCACTCTGCCTGGAACGTTTATTTCTTTCTCTCCCCATTCCTCAGAATTTTTTGATGCTTCTTCCCATTCTTAATGATATGTGGAAATGAGACTGAAAAAAAAAAAATCAGCCACAACACCCACCACACCAAAGGCACACACCTTTTCCTCTGCCCCAGCAAGCTGTTTTCTAAACACCACCTCCTCCTGTACTAGGTCTATAATTAGACTTCATTAAGAAAAAGTAATGTTTACTCACTTTAGTAAAAGCATCAATATGTGGTTATTAATGTTTGCTTTTAAAATCCTATGTTACTATTTTCTGTGCTGCTCTGTAATTAATATATTTCATCCAACACATTGGAAGAGGTTTCATCTTTCCAAAATCACACCAAGCCAAGGCTTCTCCATCTCAAGTAGGGGAGGTGAGACAGAGGGGGGACTACAAGGGAACTCTTCACCCAGCCAGGGACTCCCCTAGCAAATCACCACAAACCTCTACTCCCTTTATTTCTAACTGGTTCTTCGTCTGCTCCAGTTATTAGGCCCAATCCATATTATGGCTCCAAAACATTTTCATTATCATTTTCCCACCACTGCATTAAACCACCAGGAAAACTAGAGTAGAATGACTGATAACACATTTAAATCCATCTAAAATCCTAGTGGCCATCAAAAATGCTCCTTGGCTGTTTCACCATCAGCGTGGCACAGCTGCTACGGAACACGGAGGGAATAAAAAGCGAGGCTGAGATTGCTCTAGACACAAATATGGACAACGCAGCAGCTCAAGGTCTATTTCTTGTTCTTACTCAGCTAGTTCTCTGCTTCACTCTGCTGTGTTATAAATCTGTGACAGCAACTATGGCCCAACTGGCTTTACCCATGATTAGAAAACAAAACCAAAGAAACCTCCAGCAACAAATTTATACTTTGACTGAACATGTTCTCAGAAAAGCTAGCTAGCTTTTTCCAAGTCTAGCTAAACCCCAAGCTCAGCTTATTCTCATACTTCATCTTCGCAAACTAGTCTGAACCAGAAGCAGCTGCTTAAACCAGTATGTTACAGGCTTTTCTTGACTGTTTTCACCATTTAATAGCCAACCAGTAAGGGTGAAAAGTCACAAACCATAGTGGAAGTCCCCAGCTATTTCCTCACATTAAAGCATAGACACAAGTGGAATTTAAACTGAAGGAAGTTTGTTAGATAAGTGATTTTAGACAACCCTGACAATGACGGTCATGAGAATATCAGGGTAAGGCTGGACTGTATAGGATGAGCGGGAGGAGATGCTAAGCTAAGGCACTGCCCATCGCAGAGACACACCCCTAAACTGAAGGACCTAGGCTGGGGACACAGCACAGGTTTGGCTCTGACATTTTCTATTCCTATTAGCTGGGATTCTTCCTCCTTGCTTTACGGCCTCCCTGTTCAGAAACACAGATGCTGCTTGTTCAACGTGTCATTCGAATGACAGAAGGAGTTTGCAAAGCAATTCTCTCGCACACTTGCTAAATTTTCTACCGTATGGCATGTTTTCCCCCATTACAGGAAGCAATCCTTGAATTTGTAGGCATTATATGCCTCTCAGATTAAATTTAATGTAAGATACGGTGCCCAGCAGTTCCCTGAGAGGTTGGGGAGAATGGGAAATGAAATAGCAGTCTTTAGTTTCATATGCTTATTCTTTATTTCTTGGAAAGCTTGTTGGCTGCATTCTGGATCATCTCTCTGACACAGCTGGAAATAGAGAAGTGACTCTTCTTCCTTAGAAAGCAGCAGCACAAGCAAAGATTTTACATCTGTGCTTTCTTTTCAAAAGACTATGTGGGCAAAGTTCAACAGCAACAAAAAAAAAGAATTTTCCCAACTACCTACAGATTGGTCTCGCTTCTGTATGAACACTGCAACAATAAATTAAGCAAGAAGCCAATATGGAAAAAACCTGAGATTTTGGGAGACGGAACCCACGCTCTGTCATTGTAAGTGCAAGGAACAATTTTTTATTTAATTTTTATTCTAGGGCTCTGTGAAGGCAAATTTGAAGTGATTCAAGATTAGATGCACCAACACTTCCTCTGGGACATTCATCCTTTCAAAGTCATGTTTCTTCTTTCTAGTCATGCTTTCCTAGTAACATGCTGTTTCAATATCTTTACAACATGAATTACAGCCACAAAACTCTCAAATTGTGCAAGTCTGCCATTCTATTACCTGTCTTTACACATGCTGCCAAGTGAGCCCTCCTTTCTTTTGAATATATTTTAACTTGGTATTAGTATCAGTATTGAACTGACTTGAAAAAGCACGAAATCGGTGACTTGTTTCAAATATTAATGTTTCTTCCCTGCCATCTTCTATAACCATTTCAAGAAGTTAGCAGCTTTTCAACAAATCTGGCTTTGATCTATGGCACTCACAACAGGAAAAACATGTTATAGATCAGTGTATGTTGAAAAATCGCTTCAAAACAAACAAACAAACCAACCCCATACCAACAAAACACACTCTTACATGCGTCCTGCTAAACTACTGATTTCTTCTAGTGCAACAAACACAGCATCAGGGATCTGGAACAACAGCATCCACGTGTACAATCACTAAGCTGTCATGTCATTATGAGACTAACTTCTGTTCTAAGGAACTGCACTCATCACTATTTATTTGCATTAACTTACAGAATATATCTACTTTTTAAAATATACAGATATATTAAAAAAATAACAGCACCTAAAGATGTGTAGGAAAAGGGTATTTATTTCACGTCTCTCTTTTCTAACACAGATTATGGGCCCCATCTGTCCCCAAAGCTGAAGTCTATACACAGTCTACTTGAGGAGCCTCTTATGTACAAAGTACTTTAAGCACTCAGACTACCCATACGCTTCTGCTGGAAATGAAAAGACTGTCTTCAAGAAACAAACTTTAAAATTTGGAAAATTAATTTAGTCTACAGGTGGTGGGAATGCGGAATAGAAAATTGAGCCTTAAAAGAAAGATAGGACAGGTTTAGTCTCAAATTCTGTAATTTGAGGATAACCTTTGGATCAAGGCAAATTTTGTCTTTAAATCTCCTTACATACCTCAGTTGGAACAGGGCTATTGGCAGCACTGTGCAGTTTGTTTTAGTAAGAGAAAATACACTTTTCTTCTGGAGTTAGTTTATAAATAAAACCCTTTCTCCCACCACTACTCCATCTCCTGCAAATAAGAAATCAATCAAAAGAGCATGTTGAAACTGTGGGGAAAAAAATATCCCCTATAGGTCATTAACAGAGCTACTAGGTTAATAAAGTTTACTGAAATCTTTCATAAATGTAACTAGGCCCTGGAAGTAGACGACTGACAAATAACTGAAAAATATTCTCTCCTAAATAGCTATGAACCATACAGGTTTTCTGTATTCTTGATGGTGAAGCTGAGCTAAAGCAGCTCTCTCGACATTCAACAGGATGAAACCTATTTGAATGCTATAGACAGAGGAAGGAGGAAACAGTAAATTTTATGAATTACATCTACAAAATTTTGCTTGTGTTTAAAAAGATCCCCCCCGCCCCCCCCGGGGGCTTTTGAAGTTTTTCACTTTACTTTTTCTGGTATCGATGAACTAAATGGAAGACTCTTCCATCACCACTTACGCAATAGTTCCATCACATCTGAAAACCCCGATGGTCAAGCAGGATAAGCAGCACAATGCATCTCCTTCTTCAGTTTTAAATAGACTGTTGCTTCTGTCATGACTGCACATATGTAAGTCATTGTATCTTTTTGCTGGTAGCAAGTAGCTAACAATAGTCTTAAGCCTGTCTCACTTGAGTAATAGGTCCTACCCCAAGTTTGAAGGACAAAAATCTTTGACTTCCATCGTTATGGTAGCAAATTAAAGCAATACGAGACAGAAGTGATTTCAGACTTTATCATCCAATATATTTTCCAACATGACAGCAAAAGATATCAAGTAGCAGTGGTAAATTGTGATGTTCAGCTGGTTGTCCCTTATGTTTATGAGACAAAAATCAATTCATTAAATTCTGCCCTAATTTTAGATGATCCACCAGAAGACTGCAAAGTTCTGTAATCGTCCCAAGCTAACTCTGCTTTTGCTTAGGTAGCTTGTTAAAATGAACAGATTAGCGAAATGATTTCAGTTTTAAATCGAGTGGCTGCAGCACGTTTAACGAACAGCAGCATGTCCCAAGCTAACTCTGCTTTTGCTTAGGCAGCTTGTTAAAATGAACAATTAGCGAAATGATTTCAGTTTTAAATCAAGTGGCTGCAGCACGTTTAACGAACAGCAGCACCATACCGCATTCCAGCGCTGGCTTGTTCTGTTCACTTCTTGTGGCTGCAACTCACACAAGAGTTTCTATAAAACCATGGCAAGGCGGCACAAGCTGTCAGTGGTTTTGCAGCCTAAGCCCTTGTGTGTGTGACGGACAACCCAACACCTCCTAGGTCTTTACAGTAAAGTCCGTGTTTCTTGCTTACAAGCCTCCACATCCATTAGCAGAAATTTGGCAAGATCTGGTAACCTACTCAATTACCCTGTTGCTATGGTTTCACAAAGTGATGACTACAGACTTTCCTTTGATCAAGACACTACTGTTTCCTAACTACAGTTGTGATTGTAAAGGTATGACTGTTAAAGGAATCTTGGTATCAGACGTTTCAGCTCACTTCTCAGCCAACTCAGGAAATAAAATAGGGCCAAACCCAGAGGGGATGAAAAAGTTTCAGCGAACTTCCACAGTAGAAGTTATTCTTTCTTATAGATTCATTGCATAAATCCTTGTATAAATAAGACTCC